ATAACTCTAAAAAATTTAAATACGAGCCAAAGTAGATAAAAGCTTTCCTCCCAACCAACTCCCCTAAAGGTGCGTTATGAGCATGAGAGTGTAGGACCAGACCCTGCTTCAGAGCTGTCTCATGGCCTGTATCAGCGCACCAAAATGAGATTCTTCAACAAGCAATGAAGTTTTTAGTTTGGGTTTTGGATGGTAAAGAGAGTTCAGTACAGAGACAAGCCCAAATGAAAAGGAGCAGCTAATAAAGCTTTTCCCATACTTGGGTTGCACTGACCCAAGACTTTGTACATATTATTGTTCCAAAGCTGACCGTTCATCCTGACATTCACGACAGATCTTCATTTCAACTCCTGTAATATAGTTCTGTTAAAACTCACGAGAGTTTTGCCGTTCATTGGATCTGCTCGACTTGAATCCGGATTAATTAGTGATTCAATGAACTTTCAGATACCAAGTGATTCATACCAAAAAAGAAAAAAAAAAAAAATTCCTGACATTGATGACATTCTCAAAAATTAAAACTCAAAATAATTTTACTTCTACAAAAAGATGTGGATTATGGCTCCTCTGTTGCTGCTAGGCGAACACAACGCTTTCCATTAGAAGTTTGAGTGTGCCCAAAGACCAAAAGACATCCAAAGTGTAAAGAGGCACATATATCAAATTAATATTATCAAGAGTAATAACAGTCATCTTTCTCTGTGCTCCCACTTGAGGTTTTTGTTTTCTTATTCTTGCTACTATTCTTTGGCATCCCCTGCTTCCTCTGAGGGATTTTAACAGAACTTGGCAACATCAGTACATGATTATCTCTAAGCAAACGACTTGACTTCAGTTTTTTAGCTGTTGCTGGTCTGCTGCATCTTTTGAGCCTCATTTTGCTGAAACCTTGTTCAAATGAGAGGCCAATTGTGCAGCAGGGGAGCATAAGATTATACTCTGCAATTATAAAATACCTCCTCTTCATCCTCAGGTATCTCCACAAAATAAACAGAATCTTCATATCCACTTCTGTCAGCCAATCCATTTGGCAATGCATTAGCAGCCCCTATACCAAGGTTCAGATTACAAGCGCCCCCTTGTTCCATAGGGCGCTCCTGGACTAGGTCTAAATTTCCACTAGCTAGATTGATCTTGGTGTTCAATTCCAGCAGAATGGGAGGTGGTTTTAACGATCAGCTTATGCTTAGGTTCTTTCCTTATTGCACCAGTAGGAGAAACAGGAACAGAAGGTGAAACATCTGAAGAAAGGTCCCCTTTCCTCCTAGCCGGGATTATATAGGAACTACCTCCTCTTCCTCCTTGTGACTTCTCTCTATGTTTAAGAGCATGTGAGCACGCGCTCCATACATTACTACTATCTGCACTCTTAACCTCATTACTAACCCCACCATAATCTCTTTCCTTATCAGACACTCGAGCTGTCCTTAGCCAATCACCATACATGGGTTTCTTCAGATCCACTAAAGACATCACCTTTTCTTCCCTCTTTCCTTATCCCGCACTCACGCTATCCTTAACCAATCACCATACATAGGTTTCTACAGATCCACTAAAGACATCACTTTCTCTTCCCCACATAACACCTCGGAATGACCAAGCCTCCCGCACTTGCAACAGTAATCAGATAACCTCTCATACTTTAAATCAATCCATTTTCCATTACTCCAAAACCCAGCAGCTAAGGGCTTAGTAACATCAATCTGAACCGTAAACCTCAAGAAAGCTCTCCCCAACACATTGTTAATAACTGGGTTTTCAGCAGTCTCCAAAACTCCCATGGATCTTCCAGCAACCAAAGCATTGTTATAAGTCAATTGATCAAGGTTTAACCCATGTGCTTGAACCCAGAAAGAAGCTAGAGAGAAATCAATATCAGATAAAGAACAATTAGGTTCCCATCTCTTTAGATTAAAGAGATAACCATCTATTGACCATGCAGATTGCTCGAGCACTTAATTCATGTCCAATTCAGAAGCAAACGAGATTGCGTAGAGGTTAGTCTCCAACTCAATTACCTGAAAATCCAGCTTGTTCGCCCAGACCTTTGCAAGCACCCTGTAAACCGCGTTCCGGTTAACTGGGGCTTCGGAAATTACCCGTCCGGGCAATACGGATGAGATTCTGACTTCCGATTGTTTCTCCGGTGGAAGATCGATGAAAAGTCCGACGTTAGTCATGCTATAGGATTTGGGTTAAAAACAGGGGAAGGGTGGAAAAACGAAAAGCAACTCTAATTCGCAGAAAGTGGCGCTCTGACCCTAGAACTTTAAATTGTTACACCCCGTAATATAAATCGACATGAATAACCTGCTTTTTAACTAGATTAAGGAGGAATTAATTGACAGTAAAAACACCCCAAGTTCAAACAGACCGAAAATTGTATGAAATTATAATTAAAAGATGACCAATAAAGAATATTTCATTATCAATGATTATTTTATTTAAAAAAATATATTTTATGTAGTTTAATGTTTAAGAAAAAATGAATCTTTTAATATTTGATAGTTTGTATCTTGATTTTATAATTTAGATTAAAAAATTTACAAAATCTTATTCATTACACATTAAGTTTTAGTACTTATTCACAAACCTAAATCATAAATAAATTGAACCAACCTATCAGACTTATTAATTCATTATTCGAGTCTAAATTCTTGGATTCAAATAGGTTAAGAGTTTTATTTTGATTTATTACTTAAAAAAAAAAATTTCGTCATTCCCTAAATTCCCCTATGTTAAAAAAAAAACATAAATAAATTTATAATAATTCACATTCCAACTCCACACTTCTAGGTGTTTTTGGCTTGGTGTATTTAAATCTTTGGTCTCACTAATTTTATAGATATTTGTTTAACTGCCCCATCCTTTGTCCAAACTCGAGAAAAATGAAACTTCTAAGTTTCAAACTAAAGAGTTGGTAAAAAGTAAAACATGTCAGACAGTTAGGGCCAAGCGGCAACTATTTGTTCACAGCCCAATGACAAGCGAACCTACGGTTGAAAAGGGGTTAGATACATACTTTATCTCTTTTTTAAAAGAATGTCTATAATTTTATAATTTTGTAATTATAAACTTTACCTATTAAAATAAAAAAAAAATTATTTAACTTGTACTCTTAGTATACATGTTAAAGGTGTAATTAATATATTTTTTATATTAATTAATTAATATAAAAAATAACAAAAATTGATATTAACTTTATCATTAATACTATATGTATTATTTTAATTAAATAATTAATTAAATAAATATTAAATTTTATTTTTTAATAACAATTAATATTAAAAAATATTCTTAATTTGTGTCTTAAATGTATAAATTAAAAAAATTCAAATAAAAATAATACATAATATTTTTTTAATTTTAGATTTTATTAATTGAAAAATATAATAAACCCTACCCAACAATTGATTCTGGTTCCTCCCTGACTAACAACATAATAATCTCTCAGCAATCTTCTTTACCAAGTTAGAAGAAAGTATTGGGCTGAGATGAGGAGTCTTAACTAGCTACAAGTATGCATTTTCAAGTTTTTAAGAAAGTTGTTGGCTTTTTAGCTTAGGAATCTATTTGTTGTTGCCTCTTTGCCTTGATGCAAAATTAGTGATATATTCTTCTAGCTTCCCTTTAAATTCACTTGAGTATTCTTTCCCATGCCATACTCTCATCAACTGTGCAACTTTTCTTGGACAATGTCGCAATGATGTAACAGCATGTATCCTTTCAGAAGGAATTCAGTGCATGAAACGTCAAATATAAGTTTTAGATTCATCTAAAGTAGGGCAGACAACTAGCTAAAAATTGCATCAACCAACCATTTCTATCTGTTTCATTTGAAACGCTAAAACCATGTCTAGTATGGTGCAGAAAGCATGATAGATGGAAGCAGACAGGCATCCCAACCTAAGGACAAGACGAGAAATAAATGGCAGTAACATTTTGTAAACAGAGAGGGAATGTGCCTAGAGCTACTACATTAAAGAACTAAGATACACAATATTACACGTTAATCAGTTGTCTGGAATGTAGTTAGTGTACGAAGGTACAGGTAAGGAATGTCGAGCACTTAGGAGTTAAGACCCTCAAACTGCCTAAAAACCTCTACAACACAAACTTACGTTGATACTATGACTTCTGCAACTTTAACACCCAGCTGCTTTGAGGAAGTTGTCAAATGGACTAGCTGGGGGCAACCTCATACCCGAGCATGGATCCCGTGGAAACATAGCCCCTTGAAATACCTCGGTATTGCCTGTTATCTACATTATGACAGGCAGAAGACATCAATAAAGAGGTCTATGATGTGATCCAACATACTGAAGCTTCGTAGTTAGGAGGCTCCATGGATCACTAGAAAGAAATGTACTTCAAGTATTGAAATTCACTATATACCTTTCTGAGTGCATTGCACCCGTCTGAAGGCACTGCTGCTGGGAAAAATCTACTGGGAGTTCTACTTTGATGATTTTCAAGGGCCAACCAATTTGAGAGCTTATACCTCGTCTCTGCAGTTAGAGCTTCACAATGGCTGGCCATGGTGTCGTATGGGAGGGGTGATGAGGAGACAGATGTTGCTGCAACTTGACCAGCAACCTCAAGTGCCTTAAACCATTATTCAACAGTGAGAACAGCGAATATGAAAATTCTGCATACAACCAGATACAGATATAGAAAAAATGAATAGGGTAAAAGAGCAAGGGTGGAGAAGAGATTACCGACTCTAGAAGCTGTCCAATGCTAACAACATGGGAAATAGAAGGTGATGGAGGAACATTAGGAATGAAGCGTGAGAGGTCAGCAACAGATGCTTCACTTGTTGCATCATCTTCCACTAACGAGCTTGCTGGAATATCCTGAAACATTAGCAGAAACTTTTAGCCATACCTTTAGAAATCACTACTGATAGTAGCAGAAAATATAACTATTAATTTATCAACATTATTGCCCAAACATACCAACATAGTTTGTGTGTGTTTGTGTATGCATGCATGTGTGTCTGGAATGAAAATCAATTGAGTCAGCTAAAGGCTAAAAAATTTGGTAAAGTGCATACCTCATCAAATGAAAATGATTCTTTAGAAAAGGAAGGCATTAGATGGTGGTCCAAGTCACGCATAGATTGCGGGCCAAACATGAATGCATCATCAGGCATGAATGGTTCCAAAAGTTTTATTGTGAGATCATCTTCATCCAGCTTAACACGCAGATACACAGGTGTCAGAGAAAGAGAGGTTGATAGGTAGTAAAGTGATTCAATATCAACATCTTACCTCAGTGATGGAGGACAAATTTCGAACCAAGATATCCACCATTAACTTGTTGGATTCAAACATTTTATCCCGCAACTCAAAGAGAACTGAAGAGGCCAGTTGATTATCATTAGCCGATCCATATTGTTTCAAATCTGCATCTGGCCTTACAAATACTTGGAGGTCATCGCCAATACCCAGATAAGGATCAACCTGAATATACATAACACAGCCTATTCAGAGAGTGACTTTCCATTGCACTTACAGAATTGAAAGTACTACAACATTTTAAAGTACAGAAGAAGTCAGAACTCACATCATGTGGAATCAAGGATGTAAGGAGATCATTCAACTCCAGGATGTGATATATCTTAGCTGTAAACATCAACATGCCCATTGATAGTACGAGTGTAGATCTCTGACATACTGGAGGTAACATACCTGATCAAAGAAGGAGTGAAAAATGAAATTGAAGACTTTTTATTCATCAAAAATTCAAAACCTTTTGAGGAATTTCTCATACCATTGTTACAGTCCAAGGCTACATTCATCAAAGACAAGGGAAGCTGGAAGAAGCAGACAATGAGGTTGCTATTGAGATTCTGTGCATCAAAATTTGGACATTGTTAAAACTCACATAAAACATAACAACACATGGGCATTCTTTAAACATGGTTCACATCACTACTTACCATTCACCTAATCCTAATGCCCTCTTTTTTTTACCAGAGTTTACAGTATTCAATTTAAGACTTTAATGGCGATGAAAGCACAAAAACAAATTAAGAAAGGAGACAGATTATGACACTTCAAAAGGTGACAAAGTCTAATTCATTTGGTATTACCTTTAGACGCAAAGAAATGAGTGTTAGCAAAAAAGAGTGAGAGATGGCTTCAATATTTGAAGGCAAATTGTCAGGAAGAGTGGCCTGTGTCCAGAAGGCAGACAGCAACTGCACTATCTGGTCCTCTGAAAGCTTCATGATATAAGGTTCCTGTGCAAATTGGTATACCAGATTTATGGCATCAGAAAATAGGAAGAATAGATTGAAAGTAGATATCACCCACAAGTGACAATTCGCTTACCATCTTAGACATGTTCGATCCAGGTTTCCTTTCAATAATAGAACTTAATGTGTAAAAATTAGGAGAATTTTTTCTAAGGCGGGCCAGCTTCCAATCTTCTTCTATATTGTCCCTCCCTTTGAAATCTTCATGGACATTATAACCATTCTTCCCCATTTTGGTGCCATCCTTTTCCCTACGGAGCTTTTCAAGTAGAGCTGATATTGATGCAAATGCAGATGCATTGTTGGAATGCCAAGTTCTTGGCTCATGTGAGGAACTAAATCGTACAGAAGAAGTTTCACTTCTGGAACTACTGGAACTTGGAATAAGAAGAGCTGAAAATATCTGGTGTGCTCCAACACGAGCCTCAATATTTGGATGCAGCATCACTTTCATCAAGTGTAGAAGAAGTGCATCTGGGAATACCTAAGACAAATTTATAAAGTTCTGAAAATAAGCACAAGCTAGAATAGCATCATGAGACGCAGGCTTAAACCTAAAATTGCTTCTTGTGAAGTCCAAATTCATAGAAACCAATACATAGTAATAAAATGACATCTCGAACCTAAATGTGAATAGGGACAAGACAGGCACATCCAAACAGCCTCTTACCTGCTGTTGTGAATGAGAGGACACTAATACTGATGAAACCATGTGGGCAAGAATCATCAGTGATCCAATTGTTGCTTGGGCAACAATTCCAGCAGATGGAAGCTTCTCCAGTGTTATTGCCATCATGTCAAATAGAGGCTGTGGATCACCAACCTAGTAAAATCCGGTGCAAATTCAAATGAATTCAAAATCAGAATTAATAGGCATAAGTCAGATTCCCAAAACCAAGAAAAAAAAAAAATTCAAAGTTACCCCTTTTGCTATTTCTAGTAAGCAATCTTCAATGGAATTCTGAAGCATGACATTTAAATTTAATTGTTGCTCTCCTGCTAATTCAAGAGTGGCTTGAAAACTTTTCCTCAAATGCCTGCAGAGAACACTGATGAAACAGAGCTCGGAAAGCACTGCTCCTGATCTAATTTGCCTTGCTAAAGCAGTAGCAACCTGTACAACATTCGATTTGAGGAGGGGATCATGTACAATGTTTTTATGGTCCAGATGACGTATTACTGCAGCTAAAATCAGTTGCTGACTTTCTGAAATCAAAAGTAACATTAGAAATCAGTAGTTAGCAGCTAATGTAAGGAGCACAAACAATCACACATCTAGAAGCTCCATACAGAACAGAGTTTGCAAAAGTGAGAAGACAGATAAACGTAAACATACCTGAACTCTCAGTCAAGTAGGACATATCAGACAGAACTGCTACTGCCAATCCTTCCCGAGGATCCCAATGCTGCCTAGAATCAAAGTAGACAAACATTGGATCCAGCACTTGGCGCATTGTTGTACTCTCCTTGGCTAGTTCAACCATTCTTTGGATACATATCTGAGCCCATACTTTAGGTGTCTCAATCTCTTCTCTATAACAAAAATTATAGTTGTTTAGGCAAACTTTGAAAACTAGAATGTTGAAAAAAGTTTTCCTTCAGAGCTTTCAAAGAAATACAACCTTGTTAGAAGCAAAGGATTCTTTTTTGCTGGTCGAGGCCTGATGATTTCATGGCTTGGGCTAGCATCACTACCAACAATTGTAACTCTACCATCACATCTAACCACTTCATCTACCCAATTATGATGAGGCTCTCCTCTCTCATCATTTTCAGCATTTGAACCAAGCTCATAGTTATCTAATGTGGCAATTACTATCTGCATTTTGAATGTATAAGAAAAGTTAGCACTACCAGCATAGTAATATAATACTCCTTCCATTTCATTTTACTTGTTACACTTTTGGTTGACACGATTATGGAGAAAAATACAAAAATTCATGGTCAACACAGTTAATAGTTGTTGAAATTTCATATCTACCC